ACTGGATTCAGGAGCCTGAAGGCACAGGCCAAAACCCCAGCATGATTTAAAGGAGGGGGCGGGAACAGCCCCTTCAGTCACTCAGGTGGTGGTGAAGGGAGATTTGCACCTGGGCCAGTTTCCCATTAACCTGCAGCAGCTCCTGGTGGGAATGCCCCACTTTGCCCAGCACTTTCCCAACCCAGTTTTGTGCCACCTCTGGTCTCTTTGCTGACCCCTTCCCCACCCTGCTACATTTTATGCTTTAAAACAATCTCGTAGTGCTCACATATTGTGCAGGCTCCCCTGTTTTCCAGCCTCCTTTGATTTTCCAGCCAGTATCAGGACAGCTGCTCTTTGGAACTGTCTGTTCCATGTATCAAGAGATTAAGAAGAAAATGTGTTATTTCCATGAGGGCTGACATAGCCTTTTTCTCCATTTATACTTACTAATTTTTTTTCCTCCTCTGATGCATTATATGAGCTCCTCTCTCACTTCCATTTTTTTTGACAACCATGTTTTAATATCCTTTAGAAAATGCAAGTTATTTAGCATACTGTGGAGTGAGGATAGGCCAGGTGTGGATCATTTTACAGGGAAACAAGTCCTCTTTTCTGTATTATTATCAAATCTGCTTCTACAGAGAGCCTTTCTCTACAGCTAGGGTACAACCCTCAGTAACCTTATGCCTCTTGATAAATATTCAAAGGTCACTACACCAGGATTTCCTCTGGAAGTACTTGGAAAACACTGGCCTGGGTGAAGGAAAACAGTCCAGTGTGAAGCTTGGCTTCAACAGAAAATCAGAATTTCTCAATGGTTAGAGCTGAATATTGAAAAAAGGAAAAACTTTGATTCTAGTTCCAACATTCCCTGAGGAGTTTTCCAAGAGGGAGAAATACACAATTTTACCAGGAGTGACAATGTGTTTTAAAGTGCCAAATACTTCTTTTTTTTGGACTTGCTGAATCATAGCACATGTAAAAACCATCTGAAAGGTACAGGCTGCTATGCAATGTTACCAAGGAGGCACAGTGCCTGTCTCAAACTCGCCTTAGATGGGATTTCTCTTTCCCTTTAAAAGTCTCTTTTACATGTTTTCCTTTCATTTTCCCCCCACTTAGCTTTTTCAATCGAGTTCAGCTGGAGGCTAATCCCTTTAATTTTGGGGTTATCTCCATCAGGGTACTTGAGAGAAATCAGTTCTAACTAATTAAGGGTTTAAATTCAAGGCAGAGAAGTCAACCTGCATGAGTCCACCTTATGGATACCTGTTCACAGCAGCCTGACCACAATTAAGCAGAGTTTGTTTCCACCATGGACAATCTGCAAGAGGATGTTGTGACAGGACAAGAGGGGATGGCTTGAAACTGAAAAAGAGTAGGTTTAGATTAGAAAGAAGTTCTTTACTGTGAAGATGGTGAGGCACTGGCACAGGCTGCCTGGAGAAGTTGTGAATGAGCTGAACCCAAGTCCTTTCCCTCCTTGGAAAGAACACTGGCCTCTAGGATACTTTTAGCTGGAAAGTATTCCCCCTCCTTCTCCTTCAGCAAATAATAATACAGAATAATAATACAGTTGTGTGTAATAATTTACTGTCGTAATAGGAAATACTAAAAATGCCAACAACTGTTCAGGCATGACCTGCTGGAAAGAACTTTTGTACCTTTAAAAATCAACAGTCCAACACTGAAGTGGGAGGATAATGTGCTCCCTTTTGTGCAGCTGAGTTTAATACATATGGGAGCTCTTTGTGAGCCAGCACAGGCATATGGGATCAGACACAGAGGAGGAGTTCTGAACTTTTCTGCAGACAGATGAATGAATTCAAGCCGAAGTAGCAGCACAGATCTTGCAGTAGCCAGTCCAAAAATAGTCAAGAAATCCCTTTTCTACATTTAGCACCGTGTGGATGGGTTTCTGTGTTCACTGATGAGCTCCTAGGCTAGCTCGAGTTTTACAAGAGCTGTAGCTCTTTATTTCTACAGCCAAAAGAGTGCAGGAGTTTTGAATATTAGCATGATATTATCTCCCTTTTTGCTTTCATTGCATTCTGCATGGCTGGCTCCACTAAATAACACAGAAATCTTAACTGTAGCAGAAAGATGGTTTTCAAAAAAGGGTTTCTTGGCAGACTATTATCCATTTTGTACCACTTTCCCTTGCCTTGTTCTGTCTCCTTTATTCTTATATGAGAAAGACAGACAGATTCTTCCTCTCCTTTTTCTTTCTTTCTTTTGCCCTGATCTAATTCTCGTGGCTGATATATAAGAGCACTGATACAACGTAGTTTTTCATTTTGGCAGCTTTTTTTTTTCAAACAGATTCCCTAGGATGATCCGACCAGTGACAAACGACCCAGCACTTCCACTTGGAATACTAACGCTGAATTATCTGGCTTCCTGGGGTGTGATGGAGATGCAGTGAGAATTAAAAAAAAATTACTGCACAGGAGCAGCGGTGACTGATGTAGGGTCTGCTAGCTGAGCTTTTGACCTCAGCCGTTTCTACAGTAACTGTGCACTGCATTGTGCTTTCTATTCTCGGACTTGCCTTGGAAGCCAATTAAATTAAAAGGCTATTCATTTCATGATATTTGTCTCCAGGAGGCTCAAATAGAAATGCAAACGACTCCTGTTCAGGGTTCTCTGCATCAGAGAAACTGATATTGTACTGCTAATTTGCGATAACACCGCCAACCAATATGCAATCTGCAGTGATTTAAAAGATGTGCATAGGATGTACACTGAACTTACAAACACTGATTAGGGAGATCATGAAATTAAATCCTCTGAAGGGCACGTCTTTCAAACTCTCAAGGCAGCTCTTTTTCTTGGTTTAATCAGATAGTTAATCACTGTAACTCAGGCTTTCCAAGAGCTAGATTCATCAATACCAGAAAACATGGATTTGTAATATTGAACAGTTACAGTCTCAGGAAAGTTTAGTGAGAAGAAAAGCTGTAAAAAGGTGGTTGGTAAGCACTTTGCTGCTTTAAAAAAAGCAGTGGAGGAAATGAGGGAGTATTTCTCACTAAAAATAAAGAATCATTTGAGGACTGATCCACCACTTTGAAAAAGAGAGAAACATATTCCCAAATACTTTGGTCTCTTAAGGACTAGTCTTATTTCCAGCTTAGTGAGAAATTAACATTTTTGGTCAAATCACAGAAAACAAATTGACATGAAACATTATTATACCGTGCTTTTATTCTAAATTAAGCTTGTGGTGTAGTTCTCCATGTCACTTGGAGCAACAGTAATTCAGATGTGGAGGAATGACCTTCACATTGAAGGGAACTGAGAGGATTTGAACACCATCCTGCGGGATGCGAAATTACATCCTGCAACGTGCCATTTGCAGATCATTTTCGCTGGCTGGCAACCACAAATTGAAACTTGCCTATCATCAGTGGCAGATCAAATGTTAGGGCTTTCCTAATGGCCATGGCACTGAAAGGCTTGTGGATAGAGAAGATGTGGGTTTATAACAGAGGCGTTTTATCTGGACATGGCTGGCAGGACGTAATAAGCCAAACGAGGCTGAAATGACAAAAACGTCTCCAGGCTTATGAAAACCTGGAGCACTATTTCTAGTTTAGACAAAATTGTCAAATACTTTAACTACCTTTTCAGAGAGATGAAATCATTCTGGGCCAGAGTCATTCACCTGCAGTGCTGAAACCCACGGACCTTCCACCAGGGGTGAGCTTGAAGACAGTTCTCTGGGTTAAGCAAATGAATTTGCTTCCCTCTGCTTTGATGAAATTAGTTTTGTTTTCTTCCCTTCCTGACTCCCAGTAAAGTTCCAATCAGTCATTGAAGTATTCAAGACAGAAATATTTAAAGTGAAAAACTGGTAAGTAAGAATAGGCTTCTTAAAATGGCTTGGAAATAGGAGCAAATATGAAAATTTCATGAAGGTCACTTCAGCATTTCTAGTCATTCTCTACTACATTGACTAGAAGGCACTCAATAAAATGAAAGGTGAATGATTTAAAAGTGACTGAAGGAGAAGCTCCTTTTCAGCCTGAGGATTTTATGCCACAAAGTAGCAAAACAGGTCAGCTGTTTTTGCCGGCTTCTAAAAAAAAACCACTGTAGTGTACTGCAAACCAAAACACCTGGAGGGGTTTGCATGTGTGCATGGATTTGTTATCACAGCACAGGTGGAACAGCAGAAAGCAAGATCTGCACAGTAAGGACCAGGAACTCTGTGCAGGCACAACTTTCTATAAATTGCCCTGTAATATTTTTTGAACTATCTTCTGACATGGTTGGAATATGCCCTGATAAAAGAGCAGATGTTGCAACAGAAAATGCACGGGTCTATTGGATATGGAGCTTCCAGTCCTTCTGTGTCCTTTGTTGCCTGATTTCCTTGCTTTGAGATAGTTTTTACAGTTGCTATTGTAATAATTGTGGAACATTAACTTTGAATTTGATGCAACAGTGATGGGGCAAAATTTTTTTAACCTGCCTCAGTTTCGCAGCTTAGGTGATGAGGTCTCATCAGAAGAAGGATGGAAAATTATCTTTGTTAATTCATTTTTGTTTGGTTCTCCAAATATAACAACCAGTTTCTAATAAAAACTCCAATAGCTTTCCAAAGATTTTGTCTTTTTGTATGACTTCTTCCAAACTAAGTCTTTTCCTGAACGTGAGTTTATTTGAAAAGATAGGACAGAAAGTGGATTATTTTAAATTCATTTTTCTTAAGGAAAAAAACCAAACCTATTTTAAAAGATTTATTTTTCTTTTTCAAGGACAAATTTTTCTTTTTAAAAGAAAGGCATCTTTGGAAAAACCTGAAGGGAGAAACTCTTAAGTGGAGCTCACTGCTGCAATTTAACTGTGCCCAAAGACACAAGCTAGTTTTGAAGGACTTGATTTTACAGAAGCAATGGCATTTAATTACAAGAGCTAATGATAAAAAGAAGTGTAATGGAGGGGAAAGAAAACTTGTTTCATGTAAGGATTTAACAATGCATTCAGGACAAGACCTGATTAGGACAAATTACCTCATTTTTTCTCTTTGTATCAAGTGTTCTTCACAATCACTTCAGGCACGTTGTCCTGTCCAGTGGTATGAGAAGATCTGAGATCTGGAAGTTTATTCCTGTGAAAGTAACAGAGAAAATACACTTTTAAATGTGGAAAAGTATCTGACCATCCTGATGACTGTGAATAGTGACAGTGTTATCAGATGCTGCATCAGGCACATACTTTATTATGTTATTTTGCTTTTGTATTTGTAACACAGAAAATTTAGTACTTTTTGCACGAGTACTGAAAAAAAAAGGAAAGAAACACAAAAATAGTTTTGACTTTCTATGTAAACTTGAGCATTTTTAAATGTAGCTCATTTCAAAAATAGAAAGCATTATCAAGGAAAAAAAATTTGGTGAAGAATAAATCTATGGGAGTTTTTACTGACACACTCCTCTTATTCACCGAAACACGGCACCTCATTTTGGGCACACATAAAACATGCACAGCATGGTGCTGATAGAGAACACCTATTTCTCACTAAGAGTAAATTCAGCAGGCTGTGCTGTTCCAAAGCATCAATCTTTGGTGATATAGAAGTAGGACATCCCTAAAAATAAGCCCTTTTTAAGGAAGATGAAAAAAAAAAAAATTCAGTCACATCATCAATAAAAGCTTACTAAAGAAAAAATTCCCTGAGACTTAAATCAGAAGCTCCTAACTAGGGCCCCCCCTTAGTTAAATTTCTGGGGTTTTCTAAGGAAATCTATTGAGATAAAGGAGTATAAAAGAAGATATAATTTTATGAGTTCATTTGTATAATTAGAGGTTTAAACTATGAGGATCAGCCATGTTCTGTCTTGAAAGGTCAAATGCATCTGAGTATTCATGTTTTAAGAACTAGGCCGAAAGAAGATTCAAAATCAGAGGGTATTTTGACCAAAACTTCTAAGTCTCTCTCAAGTAAACCGAAGTTAATTAAATAAAATTGTTCATGGCTGATTAGAAAGTACATTTGACCATCAGTTGCATCTCACATTCTGCTACCTACCAGCTGGAATGTTGATGAGACTTTTTATAACTTCATTAGAGCTACCTTGTGGAACAATTTAATCCTATAAACCCTTACAATGCAGATGCACAAGTAAAACAATACCAGCTGCTGGCTTCTGGTCCTGTCATACTGCTCTACCTCTTCTTACCGAGGGAACCTCCTGAGCAAAGTGATTATCTGACAAGCCTAGACAATATTTTTTTTTTTTTTTCTGGGGGGATGAGCAGGTAAGTTAACACTAAGAGGACAATATCCACCTATTTAATGGCTTGGAATTATTCTTTTGATCCTCTTGCTCAAAGAATTCTGCAAGGCTCTGGTACAGGGCTGTCCTCTCTCGCCAAAGAGAAGAAAAAGCCTCAGCTAAAATGAAACATTTGGATTTTCAGGATAAAATGGCTTAATGTCTTCTCTACAGCAAAACAGCGGAAGAAAAAGAAGAGGCAGCATTGCAAACAAGTGAGGTGACACAGCTCAACACGCAGCACTTCTTACTATGCAGCACACTTGCCAGTGCATCACATTTGAATGGTACCATTTATCTTTATAACCCTTTTCTTTCTAGTCTGTATTTCATTTCTTTCCTTGTCTGACCTCCAACTCCTCTGTCAGAGGTGGTACAGACAATAGGCAGCAGCAACGGGAAGGAGAGCAGAGGCAGAGAGAAGTATCAATTTATACCACAGAGAAGTATCAATTTATACCCCAGTCTTGGTGACTAATCACTGAGCAGCATCTCTGCAGAACTAGCACAGTCTCTGAAAGGTTCCCATATGTTCGAGGCTGACTGTGTGCACGTACGACAATCAGCTTCAAACTATAATCAAGACACTAGAATGCAACTTTGCAAAGCAAACAGCTGAGAAGATCAGCAAATACTTGTCAGAGAGAAGACAACAGAGCTTTGGAGGGGAGAATCTGACTCCCACCAGCGTGTGGGAGCTGATTGGTGTGTTCAGCCTGGGGAGGAGAAGAGCCCTTGCAGAGGGACCACTGAGGGCACTGCACCGATGGGACCTCTCCCTCATGTCTGAGAAGAATGGCAGCCAAGCTGTGTCACTCCTGTTTCCCTCCAAAAAATAACCTGAAAAATTACCTGCAATGCAGGATGGATGTTGTCTAGATAAATTCCCCCTGCTGTGGGGGTTGAAAGGATTATTCTTTTTATTGCCAGCCCCCAGAATGAACCGTACAAGCAGCCTCACAGAGCAGCAAGGATCTGAGTGATTCAGCTTTTCTGCACAGCAACAGCAGGACAATGTGCTTCAGTCCTAACAGGTTGGCATCAAACTGCCTTCTCCCCCTTCAGGGCCTGAGGACTTCTCTTCCACAGGACTCCTACGGCTATCCCAGTAGTGCAGCCCATCATGCCACAGGCGTGCAGTGGCACAGATGGAGTGCACGTACCCTGGCCTCAGTTTGCAGCAGCAGCTACACGCAGCCTCTCTCCCTGTGCACATCAAACAGGGTTCATGATAATAATTTAAACATTTCTTCTTGCTCTCCACTTGGTCCCTTTTTATTTCAGTATCCTGAAGGGCTCTGCATAGGAAAAAGCAGGTGTGGGAGTAGCTAACGAGATATTCATTAAGGGCAGATTTTGATAGAGATGACAAGACAAATCAACCCCAAACTTCTGCTTCTCAGCATTCAGCTTTAAGGATCGTTTTGTTTTACAGCCAGAAAAATTACCTGCAGCAGCACTGCTGGGGTACTAAAGCCTCCAGCCACATTTAGCTTCTATTTCAGCTAGTCTGCATTGAATATTCCCCTTGGAAATTCAGAGAGCAACTACACTGTGTGTTACTTGTATTATATAAAGACAATCAGGATGAGGTATTTGGGCAATGACCTGCTTGATTTTATTTTTGGCATTCTCTCCTTCCCTCCCCCCCCATATATTTGTGAAGCATGAAATACATTCACCCTTCCTGACTCAGTTCTATTCTTTTTCAATCCTGACAGAACACTAGAGGTTGGTAAGTGAACTGTGCTAGGCTGGGTCATGTTTTCAAATGAAGAAAAAAACACCCCACAGCCCTGAAGCAGATTGATATAATTTTGGTTTCATAGCTGACAATCATTTTTCATCATTGTTTCAAGCATGAAAGATTTAGCAGAGGCTGCATAAAACTTCAGTGGCACAAACCTTTGATGTTCTGTCAAGCAGCTTTGCTTTTCCCCCTGTCATACAGACAGCAGTCACAAATTACTCCCTGGCAATCCTAGGTGAGGATTATGAAGATTATTAGAAAAAGATGAGGTTTAAAGAGTTATTAAAAGCACCTCTGCGTTTCAGCAACACGAGAACACGCAATTGTGTCCTTCATAAAAACTCCCTTGGTTTTCTTATTTTTAACGTGCTGCTGATTTTCCTCTGTGTCAACTGATCTCTTTGGTTGGGCATTTTCACCTCTGGTTCCAAGTAATCAAACTGTCACGAGCATCCTCCTAAGAGAAAGCACTGGAACAAACAGAAAACCACCACATTAGCAATCTGCTTGTGAGCTGCAAGCACATGCACCGAGGCTGAGCAGAGCACATGTTTCTCTGAAGGGCCAGTTGTGCCACTTGCAGTGTGACTCTGCAGGATAAAGCTATGTGGCAATATAGAATTAGAATAGAGTGTCCTATTTTATTTTAAGCTAGTACCATCTGTTTCACTGCTGATGAATCCAGGGCAATTTTTTGCCCTGGCTTGAGCTCCATCGGGTTGTCCAGAGACTTCTTGTAGCCACCAGTTTAAATTAAACAGGTAAAATGCCACTACAAGAACTGATGCTTAAAAATCCGCGTTTTATCCAGTAAAGTCTTTCACCTAAATAACGTGCGTTCTTATTATTTTCTGATCTGCAGTTTGCTGTGTTCTGTATTTTGCTGTGACACTGGATTCTGCAGACCCTTGGAGCACACACTTTCTCAGCTACCAACGCAGCTTTGGGGATGCAGGTCTTTGAGATCTTTGCTTCACTACTGCAAGTGATTTTTATCATCCAAATGGGCTTTAGCTGTAAGACAGTGATAACAGAACTCCTCCAAGTAATTGATCTGCCCAAGGTTACGCAAGGAAGGGAGGTTAAAGAACAGCAGCATCTTCCTCAGAGCCTTGGAAATTATTACTAGGGATCATTATTAAGAGCTTTGAATTTTGCAATGATGCTTGGGCTCTGTTGCAAATACTTTATAGGAAACTGCCCTATCTGAATAATCTCTGATGCAATCTAGGAAGAGCAGCACAGTATCCTGTCCCTCTACAGCACAGGAGTTTAATGAAGGAATGAGAGGAAAGTAAGAATAACTAGTGGTAAGTCAAAGAAATAGGCTTAGTTGTCTGTAGAAGATTTGCAGATGAGTGTTTTCATACACATAGTCATGTGGAGAAAGACAGGCATTCAGATCCCCAAAACTGAGCAATTCACTCCAAGTGCCTCATATTTCATGGCTTTCAAGATTTAAAGTGATGAAAGATCAAATCAAGCAAACTTTTCCTGTCTTACACCTTAAGAAGTCAATGGTACTATACACGCACCATTTATGGGATTATATTTTGCTGTGCTAGCACTCTCACTTATTCCTCAGTATTTAATTATCAAATACCTCAATGAACTCCTCAGGATACAGCTACAACTCAAAAATTATTCACTGAAAAGAGCTGTTGAATAACATTTGACACACACAGGAATCCATTTGTAGAAAATCCCCAATCAGCAAAATGCATTGACTAAATTATACACAATTAATTATTCATCCATCTTTCACCACACAACTCTCCCCCCTCCCCTTTGACAAATTCCTAAACCGATCAAAATGCTGATCACAGCCCGACAGTTTATACAGCCTCTTGCCTTTATGTCTCCCTTCCAGTTTCTTCCCTCCAGTCCTTTAGTAAGCAATCCCTTCTGGTTCAGCAATTTGGCGAACCAGAGAAATTTTGACTTGCAATTATATAACTGCTGCAAGGCACTCCAGTCAGCAGGAATGCCAGCCAGGAGATTCACAGCTGGAAAAATGAAGGCACAGCCGTCTCCCCCTGCCATAGGACTTTTATTGGGTGTGCAGTCCTCAGTTCTGAAGGC